AAAAAAAAAAAAAAAAAAAAAGCACACTAAAAGAGTCCAAACTCAATAACAAAAAGGGACTCCAGCCCAAAACCGAGCTTTCACCAATTCTTATGCTAGACCCAAATGCATATTTTCTGAAAATTATTAGCATGATACTAAAGCTAGAATGAACCATGTACCGTTGGTTGATGTTGGGGGTTCAGGAGGTGTTCTAGAAGCCAATGCAAAGAGGGCAACAAAATATAAAGCACTGATGACATTGTCAGCAGCCACTCCTGCCGCTAAAACTGATGGAGAAACACCAAGAGCCTCTGAAATTGCAACATAATTAACAGCTACATAGATCAACCAGGAAGAAAGGTCAAAGAAGAAAAAAAGAGTAGAGACACATTATCAGAAATATCAAATAGAGAAAAATGGATGCTGAATGAGTAGGATGTATATGTTTCATAGTTCCAGAAGACAGAGATATGGATGACCAGTAAAATTCAGCCTCTACAAGCGACACAAGAGGACTCTCTAATGATAACATGGTAAGAAAAATTATTTCTATAGCCGCAAATTCTGTTTACTGGATACATATTCGTAGGGTGATGAACGTTAATGAATCAACAATGTGCTCCATAGACAATCATGGCTGTGCCATATCAATATTTAATAGACTCGTTTCTTTGACATCCTTAAAGTACTTTATAGTGTATTCCAACATAGAATATCCCAACAGTAATCTAGGTGGATAGCTATATTTTATTCAAATTAATTTCCAGAAGGCTACAGGAGCAATTTTAATTTTATCAAGTATCAAGAGTTTGAATTTCACTTCGATTAGATATTTTCTAGTTTCAATAAGGCTCTAAAACCCCTTGCTTCCCATGTCCAAAAACACTAGGAAAAATAAAACTGTCCAACTGGGAAAGAAATAGCAATATGGTAGTGGTCCCCAAACGTCTCTGTATCAATATAAAGGGCGAGAGGTTGGATTTACAACAATAATCTCTGCCACTAATGGTGCTGCTTGGCCACATGATGCTGACAGGTTTGATATCATTCAATGAAAAGAAGCTGTCCTAAGATAATTTCATCTAATCTCGTTTCGGTCATAAATGCCTCACTTGAGACATAAATACAGTAATAACAGGGTTTAAACTTTCTGACAACTTACATCCACCAATATAACTACCCATGAGAGCAGAAGCTATTTTCCAGTTATCAGGACCCAGTGATCTCATAGGCACCATGAGAAATGCTACCACAGTTCCAATAATAGTCGCAACTGCCATCCACAGAAAATAAAGTAGTTAAAAACAAACTCGCAATTTTAATACAATGTAGCAAATTTATTCTGAACTTTCAATTCTGAAAATCAGGCTGTCAAACAATTAATTGTAACGGACCTATTAATTTATGTTCGTTTCCTTCAGCTTTAGATCATGAATGAAATATCTGACCCTAAACTTCAATTTTTCAAAAATTGCTTTTTATTACTACATTCCATTTGGCTTTTAAAAAAATTTCGATTTCAAGCTTCTCGGTTTGTAAGAAAAATGATCATTCAAAGTTGCCATGGACTTTGAAATATAAAAGGAAACATTAATAATAATAACAAAACAAAAAAGAGCAAGATTGACCATTAAAAAGAATTATTCATTATTCAGCTTAATCAGCAAGAAGTTAGCATTAGATTACAGCGGGTGAAATAGTTAAGAAACAGTAGATTCACGACTAATTTAGAAACATGAACCTCTAAATCATTAATGCTTCAAAATTCAAACCAATTCTCAAGAAAATAGGTTGAATTACTAAGTCAGTGCTATCAAGAATCTGAAGAAAAATTAAATACCTGATCCGAGCATGAAGACTCCAAGTAATGTTCCAGTTGATCGGATTATATGGCGCATGTCTGCCCGAAATAGTAGCAAGGCAACAGATACTGGAAGCAGAATTTCCATGACAATTGAATAAGACACGGCTTCATAGGGGATTATGCCAAAGTTACTGGCTGCCAGGCCAACCAAAGTGCTAACCAAAGCAGCACTCACTGTTCTACCTATTGTGGTCTTCTCAGACCTTTAAACCCGAATTCACAGAGTAATCCCAGATTAGCTAACAAACAAAACCGTTAATGGGTTGTTAAACATGCAACGAGAATGTCCAATCCTAACAAACGTCCCTTTAATTTCCTTCAATGATATAGAACCAACCCAAGGGAAAGGTCGGATGCCAAATGATAAGGAAATCAGCCCAAGAGCTCTGATACCAAATGATATGGAAATCACTACAAGGGAAGTAAGATTTGGATTATATTGTTGATCGAATATCTCAAGACAAGAACTCTTGTTTGAGATTCGAATCACTCCACAAGCAAGATCGATCATGTCTATTTTGAATGATCCTTGTTGATCAAATATCTCAAGGCAAGAACACTTGTTTGAGATTCAAATCACTCCACAAGCAAGATTGATCATGTCAAGCTTGAATGATTCTACGTGCAACCTAAACTACATAGAATTGCAAAGAAACTTAACCATTGGCTAAAGAAAGCACTAATGCTCCTTTTTACTATATTTTCCAAGTCTGCTTACAAATACAACATACATAGCTTTATATAGCTTCAAAATGAAACTATTAAAGGCCTTCCAAGAGTTGTAACATTCATATTTTAGGGTCATAATTAACCATTATGTAAATGTAACCTAAGATAAAAATCTAGGTGGATAGCTTTATCTCTTGGTTCACATAGTTTCCTCTTTTCCTTTTGCCATTTCCTCTTACCATTGTGGTCATTTGAAAGATTTACTTAGAGTAAAAAGAAGCACTGTTACAAAAATCTGAAGAATCATTCGCATATTCAATTAAGCAGTATGCTTACAGCTAACATTTTGATTCAAGAATAAAACTAAACTTCTAATCCATTCATGAACAACTTCAATCTCCACTATTGAGGGCAGAACAGAAAAAGAAACAAGTCTCACTAGTGTTTTCCCTGTTATAATCCTCCCCCAAAACAAACACATTCCAACACCATAAAATACATCCCATGTGTTCTTATAATGTGGCTTTCCTTAGCAATAAATGCAAGTCACAATCGATATCCACTTTGAGCTAAACAAATAAGAATCGATAGAAAGTACCAGATCCCCAATCCGCCAATAGCAAACAAGGCAGTCCATGTGCCCCAATAATCATCCGGCGCAATAATTGAATGCCTCAGCTGTGACCTAACCTTCACATACCGAGTCGAATTCCGGTATCCCGAGGAAGACGAAAGTGAGAGGAGCTCTCTGTCGCCGCTTCCTTTCCGAAATGAGGAATTCGATACTGAAGCGGCAGCGGCAGCTGAGGGAGGGCCACGGAGGAGAGGGAGAGGCGAACGGTGGCAAAATGAAGGCAGTTGTAGCAATGGAAAATGAGGCGCGAACATGGCTGGGTTCTTCATCATGGACGCCATTAATGATGAAGTGATAACTGATAAGATAAATTTCTCAGTTCCTTTTTTTTTTTTTTCCTTGAGAATAAGGAAGACGCGAAGCCGCATACAAATTCCGAAGTGAGCTGTTTTTATGTATTTTTGTGAGAATCATATTTGAAAAAAATAAAAAAAAAATCATATTTTTTAAAAAAATATATATTTATTTTTTAAAACGTAAAACATCTTAATAAATCCAATAATCTTTTATAAGATAAAAATATAATATAATGTTTCGATCTATTTTTTAAAAATTTAAATTTCAATATTAACCTTGAAATACATAAGTGAGTTAAAATCGAGTCTCATTTGAGGCAAGTTAATTTTTGTTTGGACATGTAAATGCTTATAGTAATACTGTATTGTGTGAAAGACTAATTTCAAGCAATTTCAGGCTTGAAAATTTATTAGACGCAAAGATAAACCAACCGAATTAGATATTCAACTTTGAGAGTACCTATAAGTGTCGATGCTATACGAAAACGAGTAATTGAAGGCTTGAAAATAAATTTCAACCAATGTAATCCATTAGGCTTTTAGATCACAATATCTGGAACGCATCATTAGTTCATTTCCATTGGTGTAGATACACAATCTACCTATTCCTACTAACCATGAAATATAAATTCGAAATACTTACACAATTTTTCTCTCAGAGATCCAACAGCGTAATGACGACAATAGACAATATTGTGGCGATCTACTCCAATAATTTCTCGTATTTCCCCCAGCTCAGTTGTTCCCCACCCCTTGTTGTATCATGAAAGGAAAATAATGCAGAAGAAAAGAGAGACGCATATCCAGAATAATATCATCAGGCCATAAAGCTATGTGTTGTATGTTGGCATCATAGTAAAGCTTGGCACTACGTATCAGATTTGCCTAACAGAGGTTTAGTTAACAGAAGAGATTTCGGTGAATACAAACTACCAATCTCACAGTTTTCTTCAGCATCGGGATGTGGATGTTTTGAGCGATTACTTATCAATATTATTTCTGCAACTCACCTGACCTTGCTTCTGTTTTTTCACACCAGACCTCTCCCCCTCTCCTCCTTCCAAAGCTCTCAATTTGTTCTTTATGGCAGCAATCTTATCACTGCGACTCATATGTCCGTAGTTGCTGCCACTCGGTCTTGATTTGCTCGTCTCGCCTGCTGCTCTTGAAGTATTATTATTATTTGTTGTGTTAATCACGAGCTTCTCACTCGCGAGGCGCACGACCAATGGACGACTGCAAGCTAATTTTCCATGCATACTCTCTTTAGCCAGTTTAGCTTCCTGCATACTCACTTTACAAGCAAAAATAAGGAATTGCTTGACAAGGGCTTTGAAGTAGTAAACCAAGCAATTTACCTCCTTGGAGCTGTATTCAATGAATGCGAATCCGCGTGGCTCTCCACGCTTCGGACCACGTGTGTGCCACAAGAAATCCTCAGATATTATCTTCCCAAAAGGAGAGAACATTTTAATGAGAGCCGCTCTGAAACATGTTGATACAGACTTAAATACAGAAGAGCGAAACTGGAAGACAAATAAATACATTGCAGCTGCTGGGAAACTAATGTTCCTTACTCTGTAATTCTGAGGTCAAGATTACCAATATAAAGTTTGCTTTCACACTTCTCATCAACAAAACCACTTGAATCCTGCGGAAGTCATTCCATAAATAAATAAATAAATAGTGTATATTAATACTGAAATAGTCCAAGCCCACTGCTAGCAAATATTGTCTTCTTTGGGTTTTTCCTATCGGGCTTCCCCTCAAGGTTTTTAAAACGTGTTTGCTAAGGAGAGGTTTCCACACCCTTATAAAGAATGCTTCGTTCTCCTCCCCAATCGATGTGATATTAAAGCCAGACACCGGGCGATGTACCACAACAAAAAAATATACTCGAGAAATCTAGCTAGAAAATATCTGCAAGCGGTGAGCTTGGTCTGTTACAAATACAGCTAAAAAGTAAACAAGTTTACAGAACCAAAAAAGTCGTCAATGTTATAAATATATAGGCTTTTCATAAAAAATATACTCAGAAATCCGGAACCTGTGTTGACACAGTAAATTGAACTTATATTTTAACCATATATATAGTATTAACAGAGAATTCACAAGTGGAAACAAAAAACAACTAGGCTAAGCACCATACGGTTCACGTATAACTGAAAGGTATTATCCAATATATTACCACAATGTCTATGGCTGTAGTATAGAATAATGCAAGTGCGTTAGGTTGGATGCCGATGTGGCAGACTACAAGACTTAGTGGACAAAGAATCTAAAAATAAGAAAGCAGAATCAAATACCAACAGAAGACTATTATTCTCAGGAAGGTTTCAGCAAAAAGCTTCAAAACAGTGATAAGTTTGACTTCACCAGCATTCTCCACCTGAGATGTTTTTTTCTCCTTTTTCTCTTCTTGTATTATTATTACTATTATTATTTCATTTTATTATTTATTGTGGTAGGGGTGGCTCTAGGAGCGTACAAGAAGGCAGGCCAATTAGTGTTTATAAAGGAGGGAATTTACAAAATGTTTTGGGCAAGAACTCCCAAAAGAAGCAACAAAAGTAGCATTCTCCCAAGTATTTGTAAGTTCCTCACATTCGAAATGTTCTCTAATTTCATTCTACTCAGCCTCTCATCAAAGCCCAGAATGAAATTTGTCTTCAAAGCTATCGGAAATATGGTCCAGTCAAACTATTGGATACAGTTGGCCAACCTGACTCAGATCCTCTTCTTGTTTCCCTCTTGGCTTCCCAGTAAGGATGATAAAGAAGTCTGTATGATGAAGATACCCTCTCTAATCCCCATTTTCCATTTGAAATAAAGATTTGTCTTCTCATTTGGCATCTAGTAATAACCTATGGGAGTGTGCATGCTTAGTAATAATCTATGTGAGCACCAATTTGAACTTTTTAGCCAAATAAGGTCTAGTGTCCTTGATCTCTACAACAATGCTCTTTTCGGAATGAAGCAGGTATACATTTCATTAATGCTAACATAAGCAATTTTAGACGAGAGAAAAATGTTGGAACGAAGTCACAAAATTGTTTTTGATGATATTCCTTGTTCCAAGACATCAGAATCGAAGTGACACCAGTGCCCAGGACTTTGCCACTCCAGGAGAAACTACTCCAAAATCTCTTCCTCCATGAAGTTTTGCACAAGTCTGGTACTTTCTAAATGAGATGGAATTCCAATTGTAGCACTCAAGTAGTAATCTTTCCCCACTGTCAAATTGTTGAAAAGGGATAAAAAAAATTCAAGATCTATCCTCCCATCCAAGATTTTCATCTCCCTACCTGACCCATTTTTGTTTGCATCTATATCTCCAAAAACATTCCTCCTTGCTGTCAGACCAAGAAGACTGTTTTTCAGTTGAATCTTTCGTTATTGTTTTCCTCGTCCAATCTGCCACTTACCAGTAGAACTTCAGGAGCACTAGTTTTTCTTTTAGCTCTTTCATCTGTTCCAACATTTCTCCTTGAGGGCTTTCAACTGTAGCATGCATATGCAACTGGCCAGCCATTGAACACCAAGATTTCCCCCCGATCTTCAGTAGGTGGAAAGGTTGTTTAAGGATAATAATAAATGAGGGCTCGGAAAGAAGGGTGGTTCAAACTACATAAATTTTAAACGAAAAGAAGGTGCAGGGCCCCAATTTTAACTCTTGAGTTGCTGATAAATGAGAAGGTGATCTGAATTTACCCCTTCATTCACGAACCAGATATACATTTTCCACCGTACTTTTCAGGATAACTTATCTTGCTCCTGAATAAATATTTTTACCCTCCATTCAAGTGGCTATCCCCACCAAAAATACCGGCCACTAAATTAGAGAATGTGGAAAGGAACTTGTGTAGGTATAGTCAATCGCATGATCTCAAACAAAAAAACTTGGTCCTTTTTTTTTTCTGAAAAATAACTTGGTTATTAATAATGTGCAACTTTACAATCAACAAATCAGGCACAGATTCAAGGTTAATTATAATTTAGAATAGAACCATCCAAATTAATTCCAGGGTGGATACTGTGGACTTAAGACTCTATCTCCATAAAAATTAACCTGCTAGTAGGAAACACCAGAAGATGATAACATTTGACAAGCATCAAACATTATTCAGCTATGACCGATGCCATAAATTGGGGATTCAAAACACGCACACAAAAAAAAAGAAAAAAAAAGCCTATAAGATATGATATTTAGACTCAAATACTAACAGAATAAATGGTCAAAAGGAAGTGAATGAATAAAAAATAGGATCATGAATATACCATTACCATAAGTGAGCCAATCAGCAAGTTCAGTTCCACAAAAGTATAGGGATTTTTCTGGACTTCACAGCATATCTGCATGAATTTATATATGATAAAATAACAACTTCAACAATATTTCTTATTAAGAGACATCCAAATTGATATAAAAATAATTGTTATGTACAAAGTTCTTTAATACAAGATAGAAACATATCACCAACAGGCTAACTATTCTTAGTAAGGTCAAAACCCCTAGACTCCCCCTCAAATTCAACCTACTTTCCAGCGTATACATTCTTGCCCAACAATATACAGAGCTATAAAATATATAAAAATCCATAAAAGTGAACATATTCGTTCAATATGTATTGGTATTAAAATGGTTGCAATTCTTCTCTTCACCTCTGCCCATGCCAAGGAAGATTCTAGAGATGAACAGCTGAACTTCTCTGATAAAAAGATATATATGAAATACCAACTTTGAATGGTACAATGATCGATTAACTTGAAGTTCTTTATAATAATTATAAGAAATGAGATTACAAAATGCCATAGTTTTTGGATATAGGAGCTCCGGTGGGTTGAATGGTGATATAATCCCATAGAATTTCCCCCTTACCCCTTTCTTCTCTATCCCATCCCCGATATGTCATATATGTAACTCATTCCAGAAGTTAAAGCAGATTTAAGGTTTATTGGGAACAACTCAGACCATAAATCCATAGCAGGAGACTCCAATAGAACACTTATCACAAAACATCCGTAATTCTACCAAATCAAAGCAAATACTAAACTACGAATAAACGAAAACCGCATCAATTTCAAGAACTGCATGATAACCAAAACGAGCTTAACTTTCAACGCAGCAATTCGAGATCAAAACGTATTCCTCACACGAAAAAAAAAAAAAAAATCGATATCTCGACTATAAAGCAATAAGCAACAATGGGTCGATTCCCGCGCAATCACTGCAAACCCTAGAGGTTGGAGATCGCAGAAAGAGGAAAAATGGAATATGCCGTGACGGCAGTGCACGGTGAAGAAGGAAATACTTACAGATCAAAGCTTAGAACGCAAGCGGAATTGGGAAGTTCGATCGTTGCTTTTAGGCTGTGTGAGGGTTGCCCAGTTCAGTAACGACACTCGGAGACCGTCGTCTCGTCCGACAGAACGATATTGGAATTTGGACCTTCTAAATTTTATTTCGTGCCAACGACATGTCGAACGTAATTATAAATTAAAATGCCAATTTTATTATAAGCCTTGTTTCATTTTTTTAATAATAATTTCTTTTAATTTCACTTTAAACTTTGCTTTGAATTCAATTTCAATCTCAATTTTAATCTAAATTTTATATTTAATATTTTATATTTTAAAAAGTTAAAATTTTGTACATTCCAAATAATATTTATATAATAATTAAATTTTAAAATAAACAGAGAAAAAAAGAAAAGAAAAAAAAAAACGTATAATAATTAATTTATTTATTCTCATTTTTGGTTTGCCCTAATTCTTACACTGCGTCTTCTTCATCTCTCTCTGTTTGAGGGCAATGCCAATCCTTCAACTCCTCCCCAACCCATTCTTCTTCAACTCTTTCCATTCCAAATCCCTAACTTCCTCGATCCCCAACCATAAGCCCTTCTCCAAATCGTACTCTTCCACCGCTGTCAAATGCGTCCTTCAATGGAATCGGAAGCCCGAGCTCGCCGGTGACACTCCCCGCGTCGTCGTCGTCACCTCCGGCAAAGGTGGAGTCGGAAAAACCACCACCACTACCAATGTCGGTATTTCCTTAGCCCGCCTTGGGTTCTCTGTTGTGGCTATTGATGCGGACGTTGGCCTCCGGAATCTCGACCTTCTTTTAGGCCTTGAGAATCGTGTAAATTACACGGTTGTTGAGGTTCTTAATGGGGATTGCCGGTTGGACCAGGCTCTGGTGAGGGATAAACGATGGTCGAACTTTGAATTGCTTTGTATTTCTAAGCCCAGGTCGAAGTTGCCGATGGGTATTGGTGGGAAAGCCTTGGTTTGGCTTGTGGATGCGCTGAAAGCTAGGGAGGAAGGTTGTCCCGATTTCATTCTTATCGATTGTCCGGCTGGAATTGACGCTGGATTCATTACCGCCATTACGCCAGCCAATGAGGCGATTCTTGTAACGACGCCAGATATCACCAGCTTGAGAGATGCAGACCGGGTGATAGGATTGCTCGAATGCGATGGAATTCGGGACATTAAGATGATGGTGAATCGGGTTCGGACGGATATGATTAAGGGGGAGGATATGATGTCTGTACTAGACGTACAAGAAATGTTGGGATTGGCTTTATTGGGTGTAATTCCCGAGGATTCAGAGGTAATTCGTAGCACAAACAGAGGGTACCCTCTGGTATTAAACAAGCCACCCACATTGGCGGGTTTGGCCTTTGAGCAGGCAGCTTGGAGGCTTGTTGAACAGGACAGCATGACGGCTGTGATGGTTGAGGAGGAGCCGAAGAAACGAGGTTTTTTCTCATTCTTTGGAGGCTAAGAGATCAAATTCTCTGCAGACGATGTGCTCTGATCTTAAGGGGCCATGTATAAATTGGAGTAGAAGGATTTGATAGTGTTAGAAGAGCACCTGCAACTGCTACTCCTTGTTCAAGAGGACATGCTACGGTGAGTAGTTCTGTATAGTTGGTGTGATTCTGATTCTCTTGATTTGATTGGTAGATATCTTTATATTAGTTCTAGACTCCTGTTTTGGCATTTGTTAGTGAGAGAAATTTCACAATTTGTTTTGAGGTTAAATAACGATAGCTTTGCTTGGTTCCTAGAGCACTTCTAATGTGATGGAATGAAATCTCACGCTTGCCTTTCTGAACAAATTTTGTGATTTGGTTTGTAGAAGCTAATGCCAACATTTTCGTTAAGGGTGTAAAGACTACTAACGTGTTTTTTTACAAAAGAAGTCATAGTAGAGATTGGTTTGAAAGCTATTATGAGTCTAGCTCAATGGTTAAGACATCCCAATTTCTTCTAAAAAGTTGTAGGTTCAAATACCCCATCTCTCATAGGTTGTAATATTCTAAAAAAAGGAGTGGAGGTTGATTTGAAAATTGTGTTGCCATAGATTTCGTTGATAAAAAGTGTTTAATGGTAAAATACTCTTGTTGATTGGTTCCAGGAGTGTTTTTTCTAGTATATTTGTAATGTTTTTTTTCCCTCAAAAAAAGTAATTAGAATGCCCTTTTGAATTGTTTACAGTGATAATGAGTAAGTGTAAAGAGGTTAGTAAAAGTGTGTATAATGAAAAATTAGTAAGTGAAAATATGTGAAGAAAGAATGAGAAAAGGTGTGTCGAGAGAGAAGTTAGCGAGAAAAAGTGTGTAGAGAGTGAAGTTAGTAAGAGAAATTATGTGTCATAAGAGATTAAGAACGAGACGTTTAAGCTGAAAGAAATGGATATAGCACCTAACAATTGCTTCCTTGGAAAGTATTTTGAGAAAGCAGTGTGTTTAACCATTTAAATTTTTTTCTTTGATTAAAAACACTCCGGAAGATACCCTAATTCCATTTAAATCGGCCCTTTGCTCTTCCAGGCACGATTAATGATTTATCTTGAATGAGCAAAAGTACTATATTCTGGTGAAGGATTTTGAAACTATCTTATTTCAAAACAAGATATAAAAGATCTCACTCACATGGACCGGATTCAAAGTCATTCCCCCTTGTTGGGGTCACAGTGGCACAGTCAGTCGTAGGAAGGTTTATGAGGATTTGGACTATATCCTTTGGAGTTGTCAACTTTCTTTTTGACTTTTGGGGTATGTTTGGTCCATAACACGGATTGTTGCCTTACAATGGGGAGGTTCTGTTTCATTCTCCTTTCAGGGATAAGGGCAGCATTCTCTGTTTTTAGTTTCATGGCATATTTAGATTGGGAGAAGCAATAGAATCTTTATGGATGGAGAGATCTTGAAATGAGGTTCGATCCTTAGCTAGGTTTATTGCTAAGCGTTTTTATTTACAGATTTTTTAAAATTATTCACTAGGCCATATTCTTTTGGATTGGAGGTTTTTTTTTTTTTTTTTTTGTTAGGTCAGCCTCAAAGGCCGCTTGGCTTCCTTTTCTGGGTTTCCATATTTTTCAGGTCTGTTTCATTTGCCTGGATGAAAATTTAGTAACTCAATGAAATGTTAGGGAAACTGTTCGAAATTGTTATTTCTATGGAAAGCAATAATGATCTCTACTCATGAATTTCATTTAAACCATTGTTTTGAATTTGTGAGGCACTTTTTGAGAAAGCAATTGTTTATGAGATCTATGGTTAGGTGTTGGTATTTATGAATGAAAAAGACTGTTTTTGTAGACACTGTTGTTTATTTTTGTAATAATTACATTGGGTTTGTATTATTTGGCTGCTAGATTGAGGTTTTCTTTAATGCTTTGAGTTTGCGGGCTAGGCTTAGGTGTTCTCTTGGCGGTTCAGTAGTTGATTGTCTGTGTCAATTCTTTAGTTAGGCTTTGAGAAGGGTATTATTAGCACTAATTCAAGTCCAAGCTTCTAACATCAACAGAAAAAGAACAAGTTTTATGCTAGAATTTGTAGTTTGTTAGATTTTTAGAGCTCAAATATTACTTGGCTGAACCTTGTTCTAATTGAGGACATTGCACATGCTTTGCTAGAATTTGAAGTGCAGATAAAGACATGAGTTATAAAATCAATATTTTCTCACGTATGTTTATATTGATTATGTTTTATTGGTAGCTTCAAAGCCGAAGCTTTTAATAGCTTGCACGGCTAGAAGCTTGTAGATACCCATTTGGCAAAACCCCGATGGCATCAAATAATGGCTATCACATTGCAAAATGGATCAACTTGTCTCCAATTCTGTCATTGTTGATGCTTGCTTTTCGTGTAGATTAAGAATTGTTCCAATTTTAGACATCATTCATGACATGGCTTGCATCACACCCCTTAACATGTTTATACTTTTCCTTTCTTGTTTGAATACATTTAAGGCGGCTTAAATTTCAAATTTAGTTTAAGATTCTTTTTATGATTTAATTCCTAAACTTTTAAAAGTTTCATTATGTCGTTGCATTCGTAATTGTGTGTTTACCAGGTCTTTGTTGTACTTATACGTTGGACTAATTCGGTAAGATAACATCTCGTCAATACATAATCTCTGTCTAATCAGGAGTCCTTGCACAGTGGTTAAACTGCTAGTTAGTATCATTCATTTTGGACCATAAAATTTAAAATTTTACATTTCATTTCAAATTGATCGTTCAAATTCCATTATTCTCACGTTTGTTGGGTGTTGCTACACAAGCTTGGATTTTGGGCAATAAATAGTGGTGTCCAAAAGTCCATTCTTGTATCTTTATGGTGAATTAGAGGATATTTAGATCTATTGACGATATCATGAAAGCCTTGGACTTTCAAGTAGTGGGGAAAATATCTGGTTATTATTAAATTTTCTGATAAATATTTAGTTTTTATTAGTTTTCTTTTGTAAGTCTTGGAAACATGAGTAGCGTTCTTTCTTACTTTTGTCTATGATTTCGTGCGAAATGGACGACGAGGTGGTTGCGGTAACCACTGTTGAGCTACTCAAACAAACCGTCCTATCTTACTACAACATAGAGACAGAAGGGAGAAGGTTGTGAAACTAGCCTAAGCGGAGAATTCCATTTCACAAGAGCGTGTTGCAAAAATCAAAGTCTCTTTACTGTATATGGAAGTTGATTCAAATAAAAAGTGATTTTCCTACCAAAAAAACATTGTCTTGGGCATGTCATTGTTCATCCTGCCTTTGCCCTTTTGTTAGCGTCTCTTCGATCAACTGTAGGTTTGGGTCTCAAAGGCCATTTTTCTAATTCACACAGTATCTTTTATCACATGAAAATTATTATTATTATTTAATTAATTTTGAGCAACTAATTTTAAGGTTTATTGAAAGTATACGAGTCACACCTGAAGATTCTAAAGTAAAAAGAACTTACTTTAGAACTAAATTAGAATAAAACTTTATAAAACTTTAAAATATAGGAATCAAATTGGACTTTAACAAACAAAAAAAAAAAAAGATTTAAAAAGTTTCTACCCATCTTGTTATGTTCTTACAAGAGAGTATGGAAGTTTTTACTCGTTTCACATGTAGTGTTTATTCAATATTAGATGTAGAAACAATATTTTGAACCCAATTTAACTCAACGTATTCAATTATATTTAGTTATTTTAAATATTATATCTTAAATAAAAATCAATGATTTAAATCTTTATTTTTAAACTCAGCGAGCATAAAGCAATAATTTTTTTAATTTAATGGGCTTGCTCCTATTCATGTAAAAAAGAATCATTTTTCTACACATTTCTGGCTTAATTGGAGAGTGTAGACCATTTTTCATATTTAAAGAGATTTCAAGGGAAAAAAATAAACCTAATAAATAAAGAACTAAAAAAAGAAGAAAAGTTAAACCAAAGTTTCAAAATAATAATTGAGAATTAAATTTTTTTTTTTTTTTTTTTTTTTTTGTTAGGGGGAAACTTATTAAACAAATATTATGGAAAACAAAGGAATATAATCATAAAATGATTGAATAAAAAGCAAAAATCCCTTCCATTCTGTTCTTTCCTTCTACGTTATAGTTCCCTTAGGCGGATCAGTTTACTTATTTTGTTATGTAAATTCAACGTTTTTTTTTTCTGGTTTTTTTAAACAAATTTAATTCCAAAATTCTCCTATAAAATCCTCTGTTCTAATCTAAAAAACAATAAACACAAAAATCTCTTTCATCCATGGATCTTCCTCACAAACCCACAAAAACCCAAGTAATTTTCTTCCTCTGTTCTCTGTTTTCTTTCAGTTCATCAATGGGGTTTGCTTGTTCTTCTGAATTTCTCTGATTTTTCATTTGGGTTTTTGAAAATAATTTGTGGGTTTTTCTTAAATTTATTCAATGGGTTCTCTTTTCTCAAGAACAGTTGTTTTTTTTTTCTCTGGAAACGATCAGAAACAGAGTCTCGTTTATTTTCCTGAGAAACAAACAGAAAATGAATCATGTTTCTTTTTTCGACAGATTACAGCGGCGAGAATCTCGGTTGTGATTTTATTGGCATTGGTGAGTTTGGGCTCCGTTGATGGCAAAAAGTCGTGTCCGTTTTCGAGCTACTTGGAATTTCCGGCGATCAGTTGCCGGAAACACACGGCAGTGCTGACGGATTTCGGCGGCATCGGCGACGGAGTAACTTCAAATACGAACGCGTTTCGAGAAGCGATGGAACATCTCAGCACATTAGCGGTGGACGGCGGCGCCCAGCTGATTGTGCCACCCGGAAAATGGCTGACCGGAAGTTTTAATCTAACCAGCCATTTCACACTTTTTGTTCATAAAGATGCCCAAATTCTTGCATCCCAGGTACGACTCTACACTATTTAATATGAATTAAAATAATTATATGTTTTATTGGGATTTTTATTTTAATTATTTTATTTTATTTTTATTTTTATTTTTATTTTTATTATTTTATTTTATTTTTGCTCTCCTTGTTTTTAATTAAGTAGAAATGCTTAAAAAGTGGCAATAATTATTTTTCTAAAATGGAAATAAATTATTTAAAATTTGATGAGGTAATAATGTTACACATTTTTTACTAATAAAAATTAGTTTAAATATAAAGTAAAATAAAATAAGATTAAAGTCAAAACCCGTACTTAGGTTTTTGACTTATTTTGGTTGGATTTTGAAGTATACCTAATGGGACCCAATTTTGGGATAGTGATTCGATGCGGGTGAGAGTATTAAAAACTGATGGAGTTGGATAATCCAACGGTGCAGGATGAATCAGAATGGCCACTAGTAGAAGTTCTCCCATCTTATGGAAGGGGAAGAGATGCTCCTGACGGGAGATTCAGTAGCCTCATCTTTGGAACCAATCTCACCGATGTTGTCATCACAGGTAATAATATCTCTGGTTCTTTTTTTTTAGTTTTTAAAAAATAAATCCATTTGCCTTAACTTTTTAACAACCTTTTATATATATAAAAATAAATAAATAAAGAGTTAATTTAATAAATAATAAATACGAAGTTTAATAAACATTTTTTTTATTACATTAAGAATTGGCAATTTTGATCTTATATTAAAATACAAGTAAATAAAAATATTAGTATATTAATATAAAGTTTAAAGCCAAATAATAATGATTATTATTATTATTTTTAATTACGTACTAAGCACACCCTACTTTGAAAGCATTGTGTTATTATATACATTTAAATTATTAATATTCATAAATGAACTTAGTTTAAAAAAAAAATACTAAAAAACAATTATGGGAAACATGTTTTTATTATTAAAAAAAAAAAAAACAGACAGATTCCATTCCTAAACAAAAAATAAATAAATAGGGGAGAGTAATCTTGTACGTGTTGTTGCCGTGGTGGAGTAGGTAACAACGGCACGATCGATGGACAAGGGTCTTATTGGTGGGATAAATTCCACAAAAATGAGTTCAATGTAACACGACCGTACATGATTGAGATCATGTACTCCAATCAAATCCAGATCTCGAATCTCACTTTAGTCAACTCTCCGTCATGGTTTGTCCATCCGATCTACAGCAGGTTTGACCATATTTTCTTCCTCATATCTGGCATTAGAATTGGAAGATTCAAAAACTGGCAAATAAATATTGTATTTATTGATCTAAATTAATTTGTTTATCACAAAATTGTAAATTATTTAGTTTAATATAATATTTACTTTTTATTGAAATAGAAAAGCTTACATTTTACGGGGGAAAATGCAGAAATGTGATCATTCAAGGACTCACCATTCTAGCTCCAATCGACTCTCCGAACACCGACGGAATTGACCCAGGTTTTCTTCTTCATCTAAATTCTTGTGCCTTTTTCTTCCTCATTAACCCCTCTTCCTAATTATTCATTCAATTTTCACAGATTCTTGCATCAATACTCGAATTGAAGACTGCTTCATTGTCTCCGGTGACGACTGCATTGCTGTCAAGAGTGGATGGGACCAATATGGAATCCAATTCGGAATGCCAACCGAGGACCTCCTCATCCGCCGCCTCACTTGCATCTCTCCAGATTCTGCCGGCATTGCCCTCGGCAGTGAAATGTCCGGTGGAATCCGTAACGTCAGAATCGAAAATGTCACTGCAATCAACACTCAATCCGCCGTGAGAATTAAAACTGCCATTGGACGAGGTGGGTATGTCAAGGACATTTTCGTCCGACAAATGTTTCTATCCACGATGAAATACGTCTTCTGGATGACCGGAGACTACAAGTCCCATCCAGACGAGAAGTTCGATCCAAAGGCGCTGCCGGAAATTAAGAACATTAATTACAGAGATGTGGTGGCAGAAAATGTGACTTACTCAGCAAGATTGGATGGGATTTCAGGAGATCCATTCACCGATATTTGTATTTCAAATATAAAAATTGGACTAACAGCGAAGCAGAAGAAATTGCAATGGAACTGTACAAATGTTGAAGGATACAGTAGCGATGTGGTACCACCGCCGTGTGCTCCGCTGGCTAAGGAGGTGGTGAGTAGCGACGGATGTCCCTTCCCTGAAGATCGGCTGCCGATCGAAGACCTTAAGTTGATGACTTGCGTTACTAAAAATCATGCCACCTGAAAGCTTTAATTTTTTTTTTTTTTTGTACAATGGAATAAATGGTTATTTGCAATATACTTCGCTACAGAAAATAATTATCGATTTAGTTTAATAAATCCCTTTTTCTTGAAGTATAAATTTGATGGAAATTAGGAACTAAAGTGAACAATACAATACATAATCTAATTCTCTTTTTTCCATTTTTTAAATATTAATAATAAACTTAAACACAATTTAATAAACTACAAAAATAAAGATTAATAATGGATGAACACATGTTTTCTAAAAAACTCCACAAAGAAAAAAAAAAAGAACATTCACGACCTACGAAGTCCCAGGTGAATTTTATGGGTATTATTGCCTTTAACTCGAAGGTGAAAAAACAAGGAAAAATAAAGAGCATTGTTTACAAAATGAACTGCCAAAACTTGAATATACTGGGCCTCCCTACCTAAGGGCTATACAGCACTATTTCAAGGGCTCTCCATCTATACAAACAAAGGCCACGACAGAATGTGGTTGTTATGTTATATACATGAGCCTCATCAACATATCAACATAGCACAGTAGATAAAATATATAATTATAAGCAACCTCACAACATCGCTTACATGATCGGTATCGTGCTAATTATTTTCAGGTAGTCCCTCAGCATCAGTCAGCATTCTGTTCGTGTTGTTAAAGGACGTATGCATAGCAGTATGCTGTTCATCAGTTCCTCCCGTGCCTAGTTGGATACCAAACTGGGTTTATGATCAGTGACATACTTGTTGACGTCGCCATGCGGGATTGGTCCCGAATCGATCTCGTAGGAGGACAGCAACTTCCTCTGCAAAGGGAAGAAAAACATATTAAGCACGTGCAAGGCTAATTTCAATAACATCTTAGAAGGAAATCATATTACACTAATGAATAGTTTGCAGCAAAACGAAGGAAAGCCTTATAGTTCATCATAAAAGCTGTATGCTGCCTAGTTTCATGCAAAATAACTACGTATGTAGTCCCTAACATATTTCATAATAAACGACTCAGGCGTCACGGATACAAGATTTTTTATGCTATGCTTACTAGAAATATCTAGAAACCACATCGAAATTAAAACAACTAATTCAACAAAGATGTCTGAAGAATCAATTTTAAATTGGATTTGGCTTCATAATAAGGTCTAGAAAAGACCAAAGCGTAAACAGCCTTGATAATGGAAAGATTTGGCAGAAAGAGGTAAAAAAATTATTCCCCTACCCTGTAAAATAAAAGAGATACTCCACGTTCTATAACTGTGTTTCAGTATGTAATAGTAACATCCCAATTCATGTCCTAATTCCAGTTCGGTGAAACCGAAATACAATGTCCACAGGTCGCAGCCTTGATACGACCCCTCAAAACAAATCATGAAAATAAATGTAAAAATAATAATAATAAAATAAAATAAAAGATTTTGAAGGTATCTAAAAGACTAAAATTTTGTTAGTTCATTTTTCTATATCACTTCTCCACCCATCAAAGCACAAAATGTAGTCAAAAAAAGCTAAAGGATGATTTGTACTTACATGATCTTCAAAATCAGGACCGATCAAATTAATGGATAAGTTTCTCATCAGCAGCAGGACCTACATGGAAGAAATAAATATTATTTAGTCAACCATGTATATCACATATTTTTTTATTTGTGAACTACAATTGCTCTAAATTTTCATACAGTCTTTAGACAACTAACAACCGTGTTACTAAGTAAAGAGGGAAAAAAGTGTAGAAAATCATACAGTTTCAACATCGATTGGGTCCATCCTCTTTAACTTTTGCAGATGACCTGATGCGTTTGGGTCGAAGACACTACCAATGAAACTGTAAACCTGAGCGAAATCTGGCAAAACTGCACGACAAAAGGACATTTAAGTATCGAGAAAAACAACAATACACAGGAAATAGGGATTAAAGATTCACTACAACCATTAAAATAGCTTTGTAGGAACTCATGCCACCAGAAAAATGAGAAAAAAAAACATCAAAATGATAGAGAAATAAAACATAACACCAGAGTTCACAAAGATTGTCCAACTCCAAAGTCCAGAAAAGTCAGATTGTCTAATTTTCTTTTTACTGGCTACTCATGATACTACAGTTATAATTACATGCTCTTAATACAGAAGGCCTCTAACTAAATGGTCAAAAATCAAGATGCTCCTTCACAAAAATTTCTTTTGTGGGCATTGAGAATGTAGACTCTGTATAACAAATCTTGATCGAGTTCTTGAATCACTTGAAGAAATTATACAATATAATAAAAACGATGCAATATCTTAATTATGAGCAAGTACTCAAAAGTGTGAGAATACACAAACGATTACATATTTTCTCTAGACTATGCATATCACTAGCACCATGCTTCTAAAAACATGCATGGATAGTTATGATTGACTGATACATTCCAGATCCCTGATTCTTCCATGTATTTCCCTACTTCCATGAAGAGTAGCAATTGAGCACTTCAAGCTAATTAATGAGCTTAATGATTAAAGTAGGAAGGATATATACCCACATTTTCATATATAATAGTTCAAAACAATCTCAAACAATTATCAATATAATAATATAATTTGAAGTACATGCAAAAGAATGAGAGGATCACCTCTAAGAGAATGATTGTTACTTCCTTGGTCAGTTGTTTCAACGAGAGGGAGTGCTTTTGAAGGGCTTTCAGTACTACTGCAACAAATATTTGTCGTTGTTGGCACTGCATGCACATATAAACCAAACAAAGCATTACATCTGTAAACATTTTATAGAACACTATAATGATAGAACCTAGGCACATGAAGAACGTCACATAATCCTAAGATGCCTGCATCCTAGACACCTCATATTCCTCTCCCTCCAAATTTCCCGTGCATGGTAGCCTAGATTGTATCATGATAGGTTTTTTAAGGCATCTAATTAAACCCATCTTATCTCGTTCCTATTGTAAGAAGTTATGAAAAAATGATTGCAATGCATCTAATAATTAGCCTTTGGTACCTTGTGCGGAATTGGGTGGCTGAACAGAGTTCACCATCCAAGAAGATACAGCTCCACCTGTTGCCGGACATGCAGGTATTGAAGATGATTCTGGCCTTCTAATGCATCCAGGTTCAACTAGAGGAGACGTTGACGGAAATGACCCCGACACTTGAGAAGGCATGGCAACTGACAAATAGTACACATGAAGTTTGTGAGCCACTGTCACAACAATGTCATGTGGTGCCAAGTACAGTGAAGACGGGGAAACTAACCATTTTTTGAAGCCTTCTGAGGATATGGATGGGCGGCTTTCCTCTTTGGTCGTGGAGGTGGCAAATGCTCACCTCCTCCAGTTTTCTGAACTTTTAAGAAGTACTTCTGTGCATGACTGCGTATCTGTAGAGGGCAACATTTTCTTAGTTTGTCATTCATAAATTAACAAGTATGTGAAAAATCGCACAAGCCACCTTGACCTGTAATGATTGTTACAATTGCACCCATGAATTGTAAAAATTAAACTCTCAAAGTTATGAAGTTAACTTCATTAAAAATTATTGCTTAAAAGGTTATAATTGGACAGTCTATGGTCTTATAATTACAAATATAGTTTATATGCTTAGATTACACGTAGCAAGTGTTGTTTTCACCAACATATAAGGTGTTATTATGGGTTGACAAAAGCAAATTTAAACAAAGAAATAAAAGGGCTTGCTCAATTAGATAAGAGTTCAAGGGTTGTGGGTGCATTTTGAACCATCAATATAGTTCAGAAGAGTTCACTCAACACCCCCAAAGAACGTAAATTGCAAATAACAGAGATTAGGCATTAATTACCTGTATAACAGTTTTTGATCCAACAAAAGCTTCAATCTTCTTCCAATCACGATCAAAACTGGATATGGAGTGGCAAAAATATTAGTGAACCGTACGTTAGACATCTGTCGAGGAAAGCGCAAAGGAGAAAAAAAAAGCAAGTAGTAACGCAGTTAAGTTCCCACTTGGTCTCTCCATTTCCAACTTTTAAATGGCCAAGCATATATCATATTCTAATCACATCAGAGTTAAAGAATTTAGATTCACAAATTAACTTCTGTTCCATTAACAACGAAAGCCCAATATCTCTAGCTTTTCCACCTTTTCTGGTGCCTAATAACGACCCTCACAACCTCAATATCCCCTTTCTTTTCTAACTTTACTAATGCCTAATACCAAGTCGGATCAATTATCAGTCCTACACGTAGGGAAAAAACGAACATATTATTTCCTAGTAAAGCGGAAGCAGATAAACTAAATAAGAACAATCAAAAAGCAAGTGGTAGATTCCACAAACTTTTAACTACAGAATGTTCCTAACACCTTCTGACAACCAGATAGAGCCGAAAACCACTTCACCCATCAAAATCCTACTCAAACCCCCACCACTTCGGTTTCAATTACAAATCCAATAATATTCACTACTTTCCATTAACCAACCATTCCTAATTTCTCACACTTACCACAACATCACAAACCGCCCAAATTTCAACCACTAAAACCCAAAATTATCCCCTAATCCCACACGTTTCTCACATTTCCACCGCCACAGAGCTCCAACTCAAAAATCCAAATACCGAAACAAAGTCTTCCACACAAAACAAAGAGAAATATGCATCAAATTGAAAACCCTAAACAAGAAAGGAACCAATAGAATTGAGTTAAAACACGGACGAAAAACATACAGCTGAAGCGCTTCAAGGAACTTGTCGTGCTCAGGCTCAGTCCAGCTCTCTCTAGACTTGGTAATTGTGTAGGGCTTACGAATCTTCTTAGACATATCCTCCGACGCCGCCATAGTGGTGGCAAACGGTCCCAGCCCCGGCAACGCCATTCCCGACGGATCCAAATAGAACCCCTCAGAAGGATTCGGATTGTTCGAAACCATAGAAGAAGAAGAAGAAGAACACAACGGAGAATGAAAGTCGTTCAGGTTTTTACACACAAATGAAAAAAACGATAGAGAACAAACGAAAATGCGGCTCGACCATGGGCGGTTTCAGAATTTATAGATAAACTCGAGCTTTTATCGCCTGCAATTACTTCGAGTTGGAATCACGAGTTCAACAAATCAGCAATCGAAACGTGGCAGCATTGGTTTTAATTGTAAAATAGTTGTGAAAACTTTATAAAAATATTTTTTAAAGAAAAAAAAATCTATTTATCTACACTTATAAAATTTTCTTTTTTTATTTCATGTTTTTTTTTTTCTTGTCTCGCAAAAAAAAAATAATAATAAATAAATAAATATAGTTTGGAAATATTTCACAGCAACAAAATTTAAAATATGGCAATTTTGTAAAATTGTTTAAATAAATGGTTTACTTTTTAATTTATTTTTAAGAAAATTAACAATTGACATTTTCACTTTACTTTCCAAACTTAAATAAGATTTTTTTTAATAAAATTTTATTTACTACTATTTTTTTATGTAAATTAATTCTTATTTTTTTTATCAGACTATCTATAATTTAATTTATTATAAATGTAATGATGTTTAACATAGTCGTTTAATCTTAACAATAAAGTCATAATGATGCATCTCTTTACGCACGTATTTAATAATACATTCCTTAAGTAATAAGGGATAAAAAAAAATTCCGAAGTAGAAAAATTAAATCAAAATTATTTTTATTAATAAAAATAGTAATATTAAAATGTAATAAAGCCTTTTTATAAAAAAAAAAAAAAATAGTAATTCCCATGTGTTGCGGTGGGTGAGGTGCAAGGGCTTACCGTGTTCCGTGTCGTAGTGAATAAAATCTCATGCACGAGAGAAGTAGAAAATGTGGAAAGTCGGTGGAGGTTGAATTTGAAAGTAACGAGGATGGGACACGTGTCACCAAACTGCCCCTACTTTTAACCTCCATTTATTTTTGTGATTTATGTTACCAATACAACCTTGAAATGTTCGTGTTTTTTTTTATATAAAAATTAAATTAAATATATCCGTTTTTTTTTACCTTTATTACGCCGAGATTTATTTTTTACCCGTGAATGTTGAAAGTCCAATTTTTACAATTTTATTTTTAATAAATTTATTTTATACAATTTGGTTGGAGTTAACAGTGAGGTATTCGTACTTTTAAACTGACCTCTTAATTAAAAATTACATTTTTAAAGATGAATTAAGATCGGAAAATGTTTAATTTTTCTAAACAAAAATGGTTAGGGTATAACGAGTAATTGATGTTTTTCAAGATATATACCCACAATATTTTGACTAATTTAATTATGCATATATGTTTTTTGAACTCTTTATTAAAAAAATATATTTTTTTTAATAACATAATAAACTAAATGTATCTAAATTTATAATTTAATATAATTTTTTTACGGTACTTCGAATTAAGATATTATATTCACATTAATTTAGTTGTTTTTTAAAATATACCTTTTTAATCCAAACTTTAATAATCTACAACATTATAGTTAATGTGTGAGGTATTATCCATCTATGTTTAAGGATGATTAAAAGAGTATATAAATAAAATAAAGGAAAAAAAAAAGACTGATGGATTAACTTGACTAAAATACTGTAGCAATAAACATTGTTTTATTTAATTTAATTAATGAATTTTGATTATATTCTTACTTCTAAAGTTTAATGTCTTTTGTGTAGTTCAAATTATTTATTATTTATTTCGTATATAGTTTGAGGTAGCTCGTAAATAATTTATTGTAGATATCCTTCATCTTCAACTATCCAACTTAATCGAATTAATTAAAATATTTGTACATTATTTTCAAAAACATTCATAAATGTTTTAATACATTTAAATTTAAAATTAATTTTTTTTAAAAATATTCTTAGGTAATTTTGGAGAGTAACCGTTTAATATTTTATTTTAATAATATTTTTAAAATTTTAATATATTTAAAAAATACCCTTAAATTTAAAAAATTGAAGGATACTCCTCCACTTTTTAAAAAATATATATATAAAAAATACCTCTAAAATTTTAAAAGTAGCACTAATACTTTTAAATAAAATAAAAAATAAAAAAGAATTTTACAATCAATATACAGTTGAAAATCGTTTATCTCTAAACTTTTAATGTTAATTTTAAAATATCAAGAGTATTTTTAAAACACGATACTAATCATGAGCATACTTTTTAACTTTTTAAAAAAGTTGTAAGGTATTAATAAAATTTGTAAAAACTAAACCGTATTTTTTAAGTATTTAAAATTAAAAATATTTTAGATCCAAAATGAACGGTTAATATATATTTTTTATTCTTCAAAAAATTTAAAAATATTTTTATTAATTTAGCATCTATTTGAAGATGTTACATATAATCCAAGTATTGATTCTTTTTTTTAATTTCTTCACTTTTACTTTTGTGTAAATTGACATATCTACCCTTGCCCTTACTTTGTCTTTTCTTGACCGTTCTATTTCTCTCCATTGTATCATCTGCCCAAATACGTCAGCAAACAGTGGCCTCACTTCCTCATTTGACCTAGAAACTTCTTTTACTTTCATTTAACAAATTATTTTTAGATTATAATTTATATAATATTTTTACGAATATTACAAATAGATATTTTTAAAATTATTTAATTTTGATAATCCTCATCCCTCCTTCTTCACCTCCCCCTTTCTCTCCCTCCAACCCCAAGTTAAAAATGGCGCCGAGAGTCTAGAGCCTAATACAGCTGGTCGCATCAGAAGGAATCTGCCAAGCTTTCATGGCCTTCCAGATTGAACCTCCCAACGACCACCACGAACACCGCCCAATTAAATTCATTACCCACTTCTTCAATTCCGCTACCTCCAATTTCTGCGCCCTTTTCGCCAATCCTCAATCAATTCCGCCATTTTCCCTGCAACCATCCTCTTCTCGTCTATGCATTCCGGTCGCATTCCCTGTCCCTCGAAAACCCCCTTTGTTCACTCATTCACGTTTTGATTCTACTCATCCTGACCTTGACTCCTCCAAATCTTCGCCTGTTAAGGGTTTGTCTTCATCGCCCGAGTTCGGCTCTGGTTTTCCGTCGACGCTGAGGATTTCAAGTCTTAATTCTAATGGAAAAGCTGGCGGCCCTGCGTTTGTTGGCCAGGTCTTCAGTATGTGCGACCTTTCTGGGACTGGTCTTATGGCAGTCTCGACGCACTTCGATATTCCTTTCATTTCCAAGAGGTTCTCTCTCTATCTCTGCTAGTTTAAGATTGAATCTGTAATTCTTTTGTCCCTAGACTACCCTTCATGATTGGTTTAGATTGATAATTATATGTTGTAAGGGAGGTGAGATTGAAGCTAGGTTTGAGAGGGTAACAAGTAACATGTTGGTTTAATTTTCCGTTCGATAGAATCTGGTTGATTTATATGTACGCTCCAGGCACAATCTATTCCAATTTAATGACTGTTATCATTATGATGTTGGCTTTATAATCCCTTGGATTTTTTTTCAATTTTGCTTAATTATTTTTAGTTATTGAAACTGAAGAAAAAATGCAATGTTGCTATCAACTATTAGTACTGTTCTGAGTGAAGCCATCTCTTATTTGTCTATTCCAGAACTCCAGAGTGGCTTAGGAAGTTGTTCTCAACCATTACTAAGAGTGAAAGAAATGGCCCTATATTCCGCTTCTTTACTGATTTAGGTGATGCAGGTATTGGCTCATTTAATTTTGTTCTTGCTACTCTTTATCCTCGTTTCTTTTGCAGTATTTATGGACTTTCCAGACTTCCAAATGCATTTGGAACAAACTACATTTAAGAATAAGAAATTTTGAAGCAAGCATTGGCTTGTATCTATTCTCCAATGTCAGCAACTTATCTTCACAATTGTTAAAAGCATTTCAAACCATTGAAATTTCACCCTTATTCTGTTTTCTAACAGTTGCTTTACGATTCTGGAAAACCTGTTTGTCTTGGAGCATCTCCTTCGAGTTTTGTCATTGTTTTCCATGTTTTAGTATCTTAATATTGACTTCTCAATTTTACTTCATCCATTAGCAGTGCATCCTGACTCAATTTTTTTTTTCTTCTTAGTTACATATGTTAAGCGATTGAATATTCCAAGTGCTGTGGTGGGTGCATGTCGTCTTGATTTGGCATACGAGCATTTCAAGGTATTAAATTTAGTATCGGTGGACCAATCTTAATTTATTGGTTGGATTGTATCTTTCAAATTTCTGTGTAATCAGGTTCCTTTTCTGTTTATCCCATGCTCATTTAAATTGCCTATATAGTGATTGCATACTCTTTTTAGTGGTATCGGTAGCTATGGTTTGATTTATTTGTGTTCTATGAGCAATTGTCATATAATCACATTGTGAGTAAATTAATCACATGTACAGGTTACCTTGATTTCACATACGACCTTCTGTTGTTATTGCTTCATTTGGTTGGAGAGTTTAAGTGGTGTGATTGCCAAGGTTAAAAAAAATGATGTCCCAACGTTAGTCTTCAACTGAACTGGTGTTTGTTATGCCATAAAGCTGAAGAAAATGTTGGAAACTTGTTTTCACACTGCTGGACGGTGAAAATGTTGGGAATTTTTTTTTGGAACAATTCCATATCCTGGGCTATGGGACAAACAGCCAACGAAAATCTTAATCCAATTCTTGTCTGGCCATAGATGGAATCACGGACAAGGAATATTTGGGTGGAACAGAATTCTAGAATTTTTAATGGCGCAAGAGGAGTCGGAGGAATTGATTTTTTTAAAGATTTGTACTTCTGCACATTCTTTGTTTAACTCTTTCTTTAATTTTTCTTCTTTTGAGAAAAAAAAAAAAAAAAAAAATCTCTCTGACAAAAATATGTCATTGATTCATTTTGACATTTTGTTCATGAGAGTGTATAACCATGAGATACTGTGTTTCATTATGCATACCTAATTGGGTTGGCTATGTAAACAATAAAGGATTTAAAGGGAGTAGGTTCAAGCCATAGTAGCCACCTACTTAGGATATAATATCCAATGAGTTTCCTTCGCAACCAAATGTGTAGGGTTAGACGGTTGCCCTGTGTGAAT